AGAGACAGTTATGCAAACCCTCGACTGCGTCTCGGGTTTGCATAAGTTTCAAGAATTCTCCAAAACCCCCAAATGCTTAGATGAGGCTATTTGAACACGCAAAGTACAAAAGTACCCTATTGCTTTTATAAAATATTTCTCAAGGATGCACGCGAATCTAAATTGTCACAATCATGTTTACATGCTATCATCTAGACACACCTATCGGCCAATGAGCGGACGCGTAGTATATAAGTTATTTTTATAAATATATATTTTATCATTCAAGCGAGAGAGCCGTACTGCGAGAATATCGGCCAAACGTCTTTAAAGTACGGACTGAGCGCAGCGAGGTCCGTACAAAAAGAACGAGGGGCAATATTTTCCCAGTACGGTCCCGAGTAACCTTGGTTACTGAGGGATTTATTACTCGACGGAAAATTTTTAGAAAAACACACCTGGAAAAACATCGCAAATTTCACGCGTAAAATTCTTATTGGGAGCCGACTAGGCTTATACTCACGCCTGAGTTCGAAGAAAAGGAAAAGAAATCTTATATGCCAAAGAAAGTTTTTCTCAGAAACGTATACGTTATAACATGACTGTCAAAAATTCTTCGACAGTGATCGCGCGGGATCATTAGGGAAAGCGCTTGGTCCAATTCTTAGAGAGTTTTTAGATAATTTAACACCGGAAATGGAGCAATCTGATCGTTTGATTTTACTCAATGGCCCTCCGAACTATCCTAAGTAAGATGTGCATACACGAGCTCTTTTCGACGCATGTTCATCCGTCAGTACACAGTTCAGCACTGACGACAAGCTGAAAGTTTCGGGGATCTTGCATGGAAAATTCTTGAGATGCAGGGCTACATCTTACTACCTCCTAAACAAAAGCCATCGGCATGTCAGTCCTCGTCATGAATCAGAGAGATTCTTTGGGTCTCCTGGTTTAAAACGAGACTAAGTGGAATAAACCTGCAAAGGATAGGCCAGCTTAGTCAGTAGAAAAATTCTGTTTGTTGCTGTTCTTCAGAGCATCCTGCCTTGGTATTCACATAGGCTGTTTGACCTTAACAAGTCATGTATTCTCGAAATTATTCAGTTTCAAACTTATAAGCTCAAACTAACTTAACTGAAGAGTTACAGGCAGTAAAAGAGTTCAAGAGGTTTTGGAAGGAGTTTTGATTTCTCTTCACTTTCAATCTCGTAGGAATGTGTTTTTGAAAAAAGATCCAATGATACTGGCTTGCGCGTGTTCTGGAATGGCGCGCTTCGCATCTACAACTGCAACTTTTGCTGTAAACGTTGGTACTTTACCTTTAATGATGCAGAATGTTATGCGCCCGAAGCCATTGACGGTATTGTCTTTATGAAAACCGGTGGACGGCCAAACGATGTCAAAAGTATCCACCGCGTCCGCCAGATTGAAGGAGTTTGTGAAACGGTCAGCAAGGGCACGGTACGCGTGGGATTCTGGGTCGGAAACTGTGATGGTTTCGGTGACGCTGACGCGTACACAGGATGGAAGTCAGTGTCCCGCATCTACGTGGAGGAGGTTCCGCCCCCGCAGCATTAAACTTTTTAATTTTGATCTGGCCAGCTTGTGTATTTTTTTCCGCGACAAGTTTTTTTAGGTTGATTAATTGATTTTCAACAATACCAAATATGTAATTCATACGTAGAACTGGACACTTCGCTGCATTACAGTTGTATATCATTACTTTCAGTTATGAAAATGAAAAATGTCAACGCTAAGCTGTTATTATAGGCTCGAAAATAATTGAAGTATGGTTGTTACCCATCTTCTTAGGTTAGATGTTTTAATCACTATTCTAGAAAAAAAAATGGTCTTTATGAACACTTTTACTTCTTCCATACTGATGAAAAGTTAAACTGCATGAAGTCTGAAGATAGTGGTTAATTTTTGGGGGCTAAAAAAATAAAGTAAACTGCTTTGAAAAATATCACGATCAGTCAAGATTTGTGTTTCACTGGTGGACTTTCCTTGCACGAATTGCGTAACTTTAACTTCCAACTCAGTAATGTCGTTTCTAAAAGGCCAGTTGTCTCATTGCGAAAAGAAAACGTCTTCTTTGCTAGGCTGTTTTCTAAAACTTTACGAAAATACTTAGTTCTCAATTCTCTACTCAGATTTTTGTTTTATATCAGTACGGTCTCAGTTGCCAGTAGCCCATTCTCACTCTCCACACGCATTTGTTTTGTGATCTACCTTCTTAATTTGAGTGGAATGATTTCTGTGAATGTATGCATTATATTCGACGGATGAATGAATGAATGAATGAATGATTGAATGAAAGACTTTATTTAAGTAATGTAGTATTTAACACGAATTGCGCCGTATGTCTCGGCACTCCTGAAAGTGCAAAATCTCCAGCAAGCCTACGCGATACATCACAAAGCCACTAAACTCCATCTACTTTCTGAACGGTTAAAACCATGCATTTATTGTTCGTGTGCTGACACAGGAGCCACAAGAGTATAAAACATAACTCATAGGAAGTACGCAGTGAGTCCCCACATTACCTTTAATGACCATAGTCACAGGAGGTAACAGCTGGAAGCAGCGCGGCTTAAATGTTCTCGAACAGTCAACAAACATCACATGGACAAAATTCGATGTGATAAACTTATCAATAGCCGTTTACTGTCATTCTGACATCAAAGTTTCACACAGATCCTTATATGATATCGCGAGTGGCCTCGGATCCTTAGCCGGTCAAAGCTTGCATTAAAAACCCCGCAACTTATATCTACCCATGTTATACCAGTTGTATTACCTCGTTATACATTATATAAACAATAGCCTCCATTTGTAGCGAAAATATGCTCGGATATTTTAGATATTTGTCCGCGGACATGATCTGTTCCCGAGAGGCGAGCAGTTTTCCGAGAGCGTAGCTCAAGGAAAACTGTCCGTTTCTCGAATTAGATCCCCAGTAATGTTCAAGGACAAATATCCAACTTTATTTACGTGCTAAATTGAGGCTGTTGTAGTTATTATCCTTCAATGTCTTTCGCAACACGCGTAGTTTTGAAAATTGGAGAATATTGACTCGGATATTGTTCAGCTTTTGCTGGGTTTTATTAGGGGTGGCGAATGGTCCTTTAAAAACCTTGGGTCTCGCAAAATTTTCGCTAAATTTCACAGGTCTCGCTGTTTCGTTTTTCTTAGCGGTTATGTGCGTCTCGCAGTCTCGTTTAATTTTTTTGTTCAAGGCTAGGAAAGTCGCGAAGTACCGACCGACTTGTTTATTTCTTTTATATAAGCTTAAATGACTTCTTCTTAGAACCTGAACGTCTCGAGCTTGCATTTAAAACACTGTGAAGTCTCGATCTCGCAATTGAACAAGTCAAAATGTCTCGGGCTCGCAAAGATAAATACTGGCCTCGCCCTCTCGCAAAGTCTCACATTTACCATCCACTACCCCCTATGTTCAGTCACTTGACGCATTCAGACCAATCGCGCGCGAGCACAAATATTTGATGGATTGTAACCCTAATTATACATTGGGCTACCTCAGCACATAGTTGCAGCAAGTTACTATTCTTTTCACAATAAAAGTAGTCAGCTGCTAGTCCCTGAAGCTTTACAGGTATAGTCTGTCTAACTGTTCAGGATTCTGGAGGGCTTAGGTTCTCCAGATTCGGTTCGCGATAACGCGGGTAAAATTAATATTAAAAATGACCCAAGAGGACAGAAAAAATCACTTCAGTTAGCGAGGGGTTCGAGTTGCCGAGGGTTCAAGTTACCGAAGTTAAAATTACATTACCGTAGCATTCCGATAGTAAAGACCCCGTTACGTTTGGATTTAGCAGGCGAAAGGGGCCGCTACTTTCGGGTAGTCGTCACTTTCGGCCAGTTAAAAAAAGTTTGCACGATAATTCACAGTCGTTTCAGACAAAGCGGACGCGTAAAACATGAAATTAAAAGTCCCATTTATGTATGTTACTAACTACCCACATAAACAATGTAGCTGGTATAAACAAAAAATGCCTTTAATGTTGGTACTGTAGGGCAAAAGTATAATAGTTGCATTACATCGCAATGCAACTGGCTGAACTGATTACAATATATCATTTGACTCTGCTCCCAGACAAATACAGCTTATAAATCATAGTTTCAAGAAAAAATTAGTTGAGATCTAAATAAAATCACTAATAATACATGTAACTCTTCAAGTTGATCAGTCCTGCAGTCACGCTGTTCCATCCGCATTGCATTTGACATTAAAGAGTTTCTCTTGTAGTGACTTCGACTTTCAGGGGGATAGCTACCTTCGGGATTCGATAGGAAAATAAAAAAAATAATAATAACTTTTGGGAAGCCGTTGTTGTCGGGGGAGGAGGACGTTTCATGTACTTGCAGAATATTTAAGACCGAACAGTATCATGAGTATGTGACTTTGCGTGACTCGAGAATATCTTCCAAGTCACGCGAGCAGGCTGACTTTTAGATCATAGCTTTTTCATCATTTTGTGACACTGAAGACACGACTGCTCTGACATCTGATGAGTCGTCAGCTCTAAAGGGATGAAACCACACTTTCTGTAAAATTCAACAGCGTTCAGAGAAGATTGCACAATCAAGCAATCTGCCGAGCAATCTCTTGCTCCCTCCTCCATCTCTTTCATAAGTGCCGATCCCACACCTTTCACACCGCAATCAGGGTCAACGAAAAGTCCTCTAATCTGCATAGTTTTCCCGTCAGATTCTTTGCAATCCAGCAGACGGCCAAATCCGACAACTTTTCCCAGTTTTTCAGCTACCACTATTTCCTTCGCTGCTATGGAGGGAAGGTACTTTGCTTTGTTTTGCCTTGCAACCCAAACATCTACGTCCTCTGTGCCGTAGTGAGAGGAGCACTTTTTCCTGATGGCTTCTGTGTGGATGTTGTAGGTGTCATCCACGTCTCCTTCGATGGCTTTGTGTTTCGATGGTTTTGTGTTCTTGGGCGAGACACTTTATACTCCCATAGTGCCTCCCTCCACTTAGGTGGATAAATGGCTACCAGCGAATTTATTGCTGGGGGGTAACCCTGAGATGGACTAGCATCCCATCCAAGGGGGAGTTGAAACACTCTTAGTCGCTTCATGCTACAGAAACCCGGAGATAATGAGCAAAACATTTTCCGCGTTTGTAAAATCAATAGATATATTTGGTTGTCGGTGTGTTACAAAGCACATAGCATGCAATAATTCATGAATAATTGTCCTGCTGCGACCACCGACTTGAGTTAGCCGCGTTTTGTATACTGCATTGGGCTAATTACCGATCGACATTGAAAAAAGCGAAATGAGAACAATTTTCTTCAGTAGCTGCCTGTACTTCAGATTCAGTGTCTTTGCATGAGTAAACTACACCAAGTGACGGAGGAATGTGTAACTTCACAAGTTACATAACTAAGGTCACGCTTAGCGTTCAATACGTACGTCATTAAGCCGTGGAGCATGTAAACACGACGCTGATGATATTTACCGCTCGCAGAGCGTGTGAAATATTATTAAGAGCGATGGAGACTAGTGAGACGGACATATTTTTCATTTTCCTTGTGTCTTTTCAGAGATTGAACAAACAGGGTGAGTAACAATGATAACAACTATTAGTCAGCTAAAGTTGCCCTGAGAGGTTTTCTTTTCATCTTGCTCTCCGTTGATCTCTTACGTTAATCACTAACTGATTATCAAAACAAATCAAAAACGTTCTGGAGTTAATAAGCGCAATTAGAGTAACTTAACTTTTTCCTTGTAAATAAATAGCTACAAAAAGTTCCTTGTTTAATATCATTGGTTGCCTGTGTGTATAAAAATGTTTCCATAATAGAAACATTATTAGTCTGCTGCGAAGCTGACGAGACGTGTTGTTAAAGTGTGGTAAGTGGCTAATGTTTATGTTAGGCTTTAATTTGCACATGCACAGCTGGCTTAGCTGCAAAAAAAAGAGGCAAATGAAGTTGAAAGGAAACCGAATGCAAATGGTATTAGCCTTAGTAGCAGAAAAATGACTAAAATACTAAAATAAGCGCGAAATGCACACAACGGGTTTAATGACAAGTTAAAATTACATGTATGCATCTTTGTTCTTTGAGTTTCCAATCGGTAGATCAAATAATGATGGAATGGCGATTTCGCTGAAGGTAAAAGAAATGAATCACTTTTCCATTATTGAGCCAAGCATAACTTATAGCAAGCCATGTGTAACACAATAAGAATCTAGCTTGCGTCCTTGCACCATAGGTTTCCCGTAATCCAGAGCCGGTTTCTGCGAGGTCTCAGGTTCGACTTCCGTTAGGAGGCTCAGAAATTATATTTTCTGATTAATTCGACTTGTGCTCACTTGTTAACTGGGACTGAGGCCGAGACTGGTAATAATTATTATTGACTTATTTCAACCTGATGATTCAAGTAGACTGCATGAGCTCCAGTTGCCTTTCAGTACAAACTAAATGCTGTATACTGCTTTGGACTAATTGCCTATCGACATTGAAAACAGCAAAATTTGAAAATTCTCTTCTGCAGACTGTCTCTTCTTCAGATTCAGTAGAGAGGTTTGCGGTCGAACTTGGATCTATTTAAGGCCTTAAATTAAGCGCGCGGAGCGTGTAAACGCTTCGCTAACAATATATTAAAAGCAATGGAGACTACTGAGAAGGACAATCATGTTTTCCATTGTCGTTGTGTCTTTTCAGAGACTGTACAAACAGGCAGGGACTGATAGCAATTATTAGTCAGCTAAAGCTGTTCTATTGCATTTTCTTTTCATCTGACTTTCCGTCAAATCTCTTACGTTAATCGCTAATTGTTTAAAAATATCCAAAGTCGTTCGAACCGCGCTCAAGTTAATAAGCGCAACTAGTTTAACTTTTTCCATGTTTAGATCGGTTTTCAATTGTGTGTCGAAGGTAATTAGACAATTACTTATCGTTTTGGTTTTGGTTTTACTACGGTTTGAGATTGGCTGAGTAGTTTAACTGTTAAGTAATTGGTTTGGTTTCACGTAAGGGCCAAACCACTCCCTTAATGTTTCATGAAGGCTATATTTGCTTGGTTTATATATTTCTGAACCAAGTTTGGCAGATGAGCTTTCTTTGGTCTCCAGTTTATTTTAATTTGGGAGTTGTGACAAAATGTCTGATTATGACGTCATAATTGATGACGTCATCAAAACGTGCTATAATTTTTTGTAAAATCTGATGGAAAGATTATGTCATTGGAAAGGCCTTGACTTGAGGAGTAAAATGCCGGAAACCGTTTTTTGCTGTGATGATTATTTTTTGAGATATGGCAAAATAAATATTTTTTTGTTGTCCCCCCCGGAATTTGCTTAACCATACTGTCCTTCTTAAGTCAGTCTCTCTGGTTTGTTTTTTTCAGTTTTATTCTAGAAAGGCTAATAATCTAGAAAAATAGAAAGCTTGATGTTGTCAAAAATCGTATGGTTTTAGAAATTTGATTTTCGGCTCTGTTAGGATGGTATTAACAGTA